TGACGACAGGACTCTGGCTTGTGAGACTCTCCAAGGCAAAAAATGCAGAGGGTATGACGGTCGGGAGGAGCACGTTTGCTACCACAACGTTTGCACCTATTGAAAAATCCCCCCCTTTTCTCCAAAAGAAGAGAAGGGGGGGGAACGGGGGGGGGGGGGGGGTCTCTCTCTCCAGGACAACTGGGTTCGCGTCCCAGAATCGTGAGGTGACAGGAGCCAAATAAACTATCATGTTAATGAGAGCAAAATGTCCCAGAGAAGCGCCCCTCCCTTCAAGAGGCTCGTCACCTTCTGCCAAATTTCCCACAAAAACCCCATTTAATTGGCATTAAAAAGATCTCTTTAAAAATGTCAGTTCACATGGGGAGAAAAGATCCCTCCTGAAAGGCGCTTCTGCCAGAATCAGAAAAGGGGAGAAGGCCCGAAGCCTGTTCTTAAGGCCGCCACCCGTCGAAAAGTAGGGGTGCAGGGTGCTCCTGAGGACGCACAGAGTGCTTCTCCATCACAGGAGCCATGGTTGGCCCACGACAGTGGACCCGGGGAGGAGGGGGAATCCTCCACGTTAGGGAGGGGAGGAGAGATCTCGGTTGGTTCCCATGTTCCTCCCTCCCCCACCCCATTGGATTTTGGGTAGGAGTTAAGGTGACTTGATTGGTTTAAACAGTAGAGGCTAAACACAGAATGGGGAGAAGTGGGAAGGATGGGTGGGCGTTAGGAGAAACCGGGGGGACACCTGGACACAGGCCAGACAATCCCTCCCACAGTGAGACATACTAAAGTGGCATCCACGTCCCAGAAAGCTGACACCCCTCTCCCATGCCCCCTCTAAGCTGTGGAGTCTTGGAGCCATCCTTCCTCAGCTCAGACAAAAGTGTGTGAGCCGGAGGCTAAAAAACGGTGAGCTAGCTCACACTCACTCAGCGGAGAGGGAACACTGCCTCTCTCCCACTTGACCTCCCCCCTCCACGTTCCGCGCACCCCTCCCCTGCTCCCTGCAGCTGGCTTGGAAGATGTGCTGCAGGAAGGGGGTAGCTGTGGGGGGAAACACTCTGTCCATGCCCAGAGGCACTTGTCCTTCCTATCACTTCTCAATTGCTGGGCTTGAATGCAACCATTCTGGCCACCGTATCCTGAATGTACAGTTCTGGTCACCGTATCTCCAAAAGGACATTGCAGAGCTGGGAAAAATACAGAGGAGGGTGACCAAGATTATTAGGGGGGCTGGACCCCCTTCCCCATGAGGAAAGGCTGAAGAGTCTGGGACTTTTCAGTTTAGGAAAGAAGAAGAGATTGGGTTTATACCCCGCCCTTCACTACCCAAAGGTGTCTCAGAGTGGTTTACAAACTCCTTTCTCGTCCCGTCCCCACAACAGACACCCTGTGAAGTAGGTGGGGCTGAGAGAGCTCTGACAGAAACGGTTCCTGAGAGAACAGCTCTGATGGAACTATGGCTTGCCCAAGGTCATCCAGCAGGTGCAAGTGGAGGCGTGGGGAACCAAACCCGGTTCTCCCAGATTAGAGTCCGCACTCTTAACCTCTACACCAAACTGGCTCTCTCTGAAGCAGGGATGTGATAGAGGTTTATAAAATTATGCATGGGTTGGAGAGAGAGTTGACATAAAGAAATTTTCTCCCTCTCCCAAAAGACTAGAACTCAAGCGCATCCAATGCTGCTGATGGGCAGTAGGTTCAGGGCAGACGAAAGGCAATAGTACTTTACACAGAGCGTGCTAAAATGTGGAATTCGCTGCCAGAGGATGTCATGATGGCCACAGGAATGAACCACTTTAAAAGAGGACTAGATAGATTCATGGAGGACAAGTCTATCAGTGGCTAACAGCCATGGGGAACCTCCACACTCAGAGGCACTAAACCTCCCAGAGTCAAGAGGCAACATCGGGGGAAGGCCTCGTCTTCTGTGCCCTGCTGTTGGCCCTCCAGAGGAACTGGTTGGCCCCTGGGTGAGACAGGATGCGGGACTAGATGGACCACTGGCCTGATCCAACAGGGCCCTTCTGATGTCCTTATCAGGGGAAGGCCTCGGCCTCTGTGCCCAGTTGCTGGCCCTCCAGAGGAACTGGCTGGCCCCTGTGTGAGACACGGAGGT